ATTTGAAGTTCTTTATGGAACACTGGGACGCCATGTCATCCGGACCAGAGAGGACAAGGATAGCCCAAGTTGTTATCAACGCTCCGTTCAGAAGCCTGCATCTCTGATGGTATGGGGTTGCATGAGCGCTTGTGGCATGGGCAGCTTGCATGTCTGGAAAGGCACCATTAATGCAGAGAACTATGTTCAGGTTCTAGAACATCATATGCTCCCATCTAGACGTCATCTCTTTCAGGGAAGACCCTGCATTTTTCAACACGATAATGACAGACCACATTCTGCAGCAATCACAACATCATGGCTACGTAGGAGAAGGATCCGGGTACTGAAATGGCCAGCCTGCAGTCCAGATCTTTCACCTATAGAGAACATTTGGTGCATCATAAAGAGGAAGGTGCAACAAAGAAGGCCCAAGACGATTGAACATTTAGAGGCCTGTTTTAGACATGAATGGGAGAGCATTCCTATTTCTAAACTGGAGAAACTGGTCTCCTCTGTCCCCAGACATCTGTTGAGTGTTGTAAGAAGAAGGGGGGATGCCACACAGTGGGAAAAATGGACTTGTCCCAACTTTTTTGGGATTTGTTGACGCCATGAAATTTGGAAACAACAGATTTTTCCCTTAAAATGATACATTCTCTCAGTTTAAACTTTTGATCTGTGATTTGTGTTCTATTCTGAATAAAATATTAGATGTTGGCACCTCCACATCATTGCATTCAGTTTTTATTCACAATTTGTTTAGTGTCCCAACTTTTTTGGAATCCTGTTTGTGTATATATATATATATATATGAATTTGCTGGTCATAAAATTAGAATATCATGAAAAGGTTGAATTAATTCAGTAGTTCCGTTCAATGAGTGAAACTTTTTTCATTCAATCTTTAGACATATAAATCCCAACTTTTGTATATATATTTATATACAGTAGTCCCTCGCTGTCACAGTTCCTTTATCGCAGACTCACTCTATCGCGGTTTTTCAGAATAAGAGTGGACATGACACATAATTGGCCGATTGATGGATGAGCCGCACAATCAGCATGGAATTTTTATTAAAAATAAATTATTTTGAATTATTTAGCACCTTCTGCACATTTGTGCAGCCCATACTGCTGCAGGAAAAACTTCCTGCTGCAGTTGATCAGCTGTTCAGTGTGCAGAGCGGAGAAGTGGGCGTGGCCAAGAACACTTGCAGGTGGTAAAGAGCAGAGGAAGCAGGGAGCTTAAATCATGACATTCTGTGCTCTTTTAGAGCATTTAGAGTTTAGAAACATTTTTTTAGAATTTGCAAGAGTGTAGGAATGGTTTAAACACTTTATACACACACACACACACACACACACACACATATATATATATATGTATATATATATATATATATATATACATATGTATATATGCAATAATTTGGTTTAATTCTGTACACTTAAAACCTTAATCTAATCCCATTTTTTTAATGAGCAAGAATAATTGAATGTAAATTTCAGACAGTTTAAGGGAGAAAAAACAAAGCTCAGGGTTTTATTTATTGCCTTTAATGTTCTTGACAGCTGTGGCCGTGGATATTGTGTCATAATCCTGCAGGAGTTTCAACTCAACATGCAGTGAGGACTGAAGCGTGTTCAGATTAATAAATTGGGATAATTTGGGCGGTGCAGTTGCAGGAAGCGGGACACCAGTCGGACACCAGCCGATTGCTGCAGCCGGTGATGACCTTCAGGGTGGGGCAGTTGATGAACTTGTTGATGTAAGGACAGGGGTTGGCTGCGCGGGAGAGCAAAGAAGAAATTAACTCCTTTATTAGACACCGTGCGATTCGTTCTTGTTTTTAATCTGATATTTACTGCAGAGTTTGTTCACGCAGTCGTTGGGACAAGAAGCGCACGAGGCTCCAACTTTGTATGGCGGCCATGTTTTAAAGTTTCCACTGTCAGAAAACAAGATTAGTCAGTTTCTGAGAATAATATATAATAAAAAATATAAGTTAGGATATGAATAAAATGTACAACAAATAGTTGTTAGTTTTTCTTCGTCACGTACGCTCGATAATACTGGCAGCCGTAGAAGTAGACGTTGTTGGGGCATTGTGTGAATCCACAGCCGACTCTGTACGAGCTGCTCCACACCACCTGCAACAAAAACAACGGAGGTTAGGAAACTTATTTAACATGAACCCTAAAGACATTTCTGTACAATGAGACTATTTAAAGCTGCACATTTAATTCAAAATATTAATTCTGCTCATGGGCAGCACGGTGGCGCAGTTGGTAGAGCTGCTGCCTCTCAGCGAGCAGGTCCCTGGTTCAAATCTTGGCCGGGGGCCTTTCTGGGTGGAGTTTGCATGTTCTCTCCGTGCTGCGTGGGTTTTCTCCGGGTACTCCAGTTTCCTCCCACAGACCAAAAACATGCATGTTAGGCTGAATGGTGACTCTAAATTGTCCCTAGGTGAGTGAGAGACTGAATGGTTGTTTGTCTCTGTGTGTCCCAATGATGGACTGGAGACCTGTCCAGGGTGTCCTCCGCCTCCTGCACAGTGATTGCTGGACATGGGCAATAGTGACCCCCACGGTCCAAAAAGGAAGAAGCGGGTAAAGATGATGGATGGAGGGATGTTTTGCAAACTGTTAGAGCTCAGAATGTGTTTTAAGGATCAGTCTCAGCTGATTCTACACCAAATGTTTAGTCAACAGCAACATTAACTGAATTATACTGTAGATGTTTGTTGTTTCAAGTTCAGCATGTGTCACGGTTTCACAGGTGAATTGGAGCCAGGAAAGCAGACTGGTATGAAGAATTCAAATAAAAACATAAACTTTATGAAATGAAAAGCTGACGTTACAGCAAAAACTGTTCAACTCTCCCAAGAGTCACTAAAGAGACATGGAGCAGAAACAAGAGAGACTCAAAGAAGACTGTAAGAGACACAGTAAGACACAAAGAAGACTGTAAGAGACACAGTAAGAGACAAAGAAGGCATGAACTGAACAAGACACAAAAAAGACACAAAGAAGGCAGTAGGAGACACAAAAGAGACTAAGGAGACATGAATGAGTCACATAAGAGACAAGGGAGAGTGGGACAGGTGAGAAAGGGACAGGCTGGAGCTAAAGGAGCAGAACAAACTGGAAGTGCTAGAAGACACACAGGAACCTGAAAAAAAAACTGAAACACAGAAACAAATAAGAAATAAAATAATTCTAAAATCGGACAAATATTAAAAATCAACCAAAAAGCTGTGGCAGCCATCTTGAATTGGCTTTGCTCCAAACGTCAATCAGTGGCTGCAGTAGTTGATGACACGTTTTGCTAACAGACAGGAGTGAGTCTGATTAGTTAGCAGCAAGTTTTAGATTATTTGTTTTTTTTTTTAAAAAAGCGTTTTTAAGGTGAATTAGCGGTGTTCGCCTTCTTGTCTTCTTGTCTTCTTGTCTTCTTGTCTTCTTGACTTCTTGACTTCAATTGTTAACCAACCACAGCAAACATAAAACCAACAAACAGCTGAGTGTGTGTACCTGTGTGTAGTGGCCGATGGGTTGTCCGTTGGTGGATCTGTTGGGATAAAGATAGTTCGACTTCTCGTCGTTCCAGGCTCTGATCACGCTCGTCCACGAGGATGGAGACGATGAAAAGTACAGATTCTCTCCTAATTCATATCCTGCTTTAACGGAGGGAAACACATGACAGCGCTGACGCACAAACACACATCCCTGTTGTCCACCTCCCACTGTTTGTGATATTTAGATAAAACAGGGTTCATTAAAAAACCTTTTGGGGATATTCTCTCTTAACGATCACATATTTTACACGATGTAATCTGCCATTAAACGTCATTAGGCCCGACGATGAGATAACGCTCGTCGTAACGGCGAACATCTATCATCGGAGCAGTCGGCTCCAAGGAACCCTTAAACTGACAGAGGGGACGTCTCAGGTCGTGGAAGACAAAAGACAAATATGCTGCAGAGAAAGAGAAGGGACGAAGGAGGGTACCGTCGAGCTGGCGGGAGTTGGGGGGTCCGTGTCTCAGGTCACACTCATCAACCCAGGCCTGAACGCTGGCGGCCAGCTCCTCGCTGTACGTCTGAGGAAAAGGACGAGTTTAGTCTTAAATGGACATTTTAAAAGCAGGATTTCATCAGACTCTTCAGATAAATACATGAAACAACACATCTGACATATTCGTGCCTACATTAGCTTTTGAAGACACTTTGCTTCTCATCCAAGAAGCTTTCTGAATGAAAACTGAAAATGCAGAGTTTGAAGCCTCTAATCCAGAGATGTTCAACCTAATCCTGCTTGTTTTAGTTGTTTCTCTCCTCCAACACACCTGACATGAAGGTTACATGAACTCCAGCATGTCCTCGAGTTCTGCAGAAGACCGTTAACTAACCATTCATTCCAATCAGGAGTGTTTAAAAATAATCTAAAATATGTGGAAAAGTGCCCTCCCAGAACGAGGACTGGACACTGAAGACTTTTGTTGTTTAGCTAGCTGACCTGGTCCACCTGTGAGATGTTTATGTCTCAAGTACGAAGGTTTGATTTGATGTGAAACTGTCTGGGGATCAGATTTAAAGTTGTATTTTATGTTCTGGAAAGTTTAGTATTTAATGGTTTTCTCGTTTGACAAAGATGGCTTCCTTGACAGAACTGGAAGAGCCAGAGCGGAAGATGTTGAGGTTCTCCTTAGGAGAGACAAGGATGGAGAAGATCAGGAATGAGATCATCAGAGGTACAGCACAGGTTGAACAACTGGGAGACAAAGTTAGAGAGGACACACTGAGATGGTTTGGACATGTCCAGAGGAGGGACAGTGGATATATTGGTCGAAGGATGTTAGAAATGTAGCTGCAGGAAAAAGACAAAGAGGAGATACATGGATGCAGTTAGAGAGGACGTGGAGGTAGCTGGAGTGAGGACAGATAGAGGAGGAGGATGACTCGCTGTGGAGTGTGTCATGCTATCTTAGCGCTAAGTTAGTGCCGGCAGTTGTCAAGCGGGGTGGGGACATTAGGATGCTCGAGGTGAGCAGAGCGTGCTCTATTCACACAAGGAGAGCTGTTGGTCAGGCTACTTCTTGTTGCTCTCTAAAATAGTTGTTGAATCAAGTTACTTATGTAGGTAAATATAGATGATTAACCCCTTTAAATACACCAGAATACAGGAAATGGTATCTACTTTTTTTTTAATTCTCTGGGGGAGGACCCCCAGACCCCCCCACCAGTGTGCCTGCCCCCCACCCCTTACAAATTCTTTTGACGCCAGTGCTGGTAAGACATTTTCATTAGAGTTTAAACAGTCTGTGTTCAGAAAAAACTTTTTCACTGCACAGAACATCGTTGTGTTGATGTTGCGAAATGACTCCAGCTCCTACTCTAGAAGTTATTTAGAACGATAGGAGTCCTAAAACCAGCTCTGTGGAACTTCTTCCTTTAAGATTGTGATATTGAGTATTCTAAATTTATTACAAATTAATTGACTGAAATGTGTCTGTTCAATGTGGTGAGTCTTTTTGAGGGTTTGTTTTTTGTTGCTGCTGCGTGGCAGTACATATTTTATGTTGTTTAAGTTCAAATACATTGAACCCTCGTTTAAGTCATTGTTACTTGAAGCTGAATTGTTTGTTGTTAAAAGTAGTTGTTTGCACTTTTCAGAGAGCGTTTTTAATAATTGTTGGCAATATGTCATGATTTTATTCTATCAACGCCACAAAAAAAAGTTTCAGGCTCAGGATTTTTTTTTTTTCCCACTTTGAGCCCCGGGAGAGTGAGAGCCCTGAAGACAGAAAGGCCAAAAGAAGAAGAAGAAGAAGAAGAGTGCAGATTAAAGAGCGAGCGTTTGAAACAACAGAACAGCATGTAAATTAAGTTTACAACAAACTTTGTTATTTTTAAGAGATGTTAGGAAGATTTTTAATGTAGCACAACAAATATTAACAGATTTGAGCTATTTATTGTGTTTGAGATGAAAAATAAAGACCATCATCAGCATGTCAGCAGCAGGAGGATCCACGGCTCTTCTGAAGGCGTTGTGCACGTCCACGATCTTGGCCTGGACGGTGGCGTTTGTGGGGCAAATATCTGCGCGCACACACAAACGCACACTTTTAAAGCCGGCGAGTACACACCGGATTAAAGACACGTTTACTCTGCTGCTCGGACACACGACGCACAAACACATCCTGCTCTAATTGCTCTGGCTCCACATAACCAAGAAGAACTGAAGCAAAGCCTGCGGTGGTTCTGGGAGGTCCTGCTCAGGACGACAGTAAAAATAAGAGTGTTTGGCTGCAGGGCTGAACCGGCTGCTTACCTTGCTGCGGTGCAGTGGAGCGCACGTGTTAAAACAAGAGGAAACCAGGGTCAGTTCATCATCCAACAACAGATCATCCAACGTGCAGACCAAGAAGAGATTCACAGAAAGTTAAAAAGTTAGGAAATAATCAATCAATGTTCCTGAAAACATTTGAATTCCTGAAAAGAGCGTCGTGTTTGTTTTTCTTTCATTCCAGGTAAGGTGATGAAAGTCAACACGAACGAAATCCAAGATTAATTCTCATGATAACATGATGCTATCAGGGCAAAGACAGAGAACCCTCAGTGTATGTGTTGGACATGACTCTCAGCTACTACCTCAGATCTCTGTAAACCAAGTTGGAACCATTTTTATGTTGGTTGAGGCTCATCAGCTGTGCCGGCGTAAACTCCAAATGTGCATTTAATTTGTTTCTGAGAGTTTCACTACATTCTGTCCAACGGTTCATGAGATATTTTGCTAACAGACAGAGGGTGTTGATTTTAAGAGCCATTACCGCGAGCAATTTTAGCTCAATATCTTTAAAATTGTCTGAGCTGGTGTGATGTAGTTGCGGCGGCCATCTTGAATCGGCCCAGACTTAATCAGTTGTAGATTTCCTTTTGAGTTTTGTTAAATCTAACCTCCATCCATCCATCCATTTTCTTTACCCGCTTATTCCATTTTGGGTCACGGGGGTCGCTGGTGCTCATGTCCAGCAATCACTGTGCGAGGGGCGGGGGACACCCTGGACGGGTCGCAAGTCCATCACAGGGCTTAAATCTAACCTGTGATTAACAAATTACTAACAGTTCAGACAAATAAACACTCAGAGATGTGCAAAAAAAAAATCAATCTGTCACCTTCACCTGTTCCCATTCTTAATCGCCCCAGGTGTTCATCATCGTGTCTCGTTAGAGACCCTTTAAAGACCTTGTTGTTTTGTCTGTCCCCCGTCCGTGGATTGTGCTTCCCGGTGCCATCGTGCTGTTTTCTCTGTGTCTCCCTGATCCCAGTTTATGTGTAAGTTTTGCTGCCACATAAATAGATTACTTTATTTTACCTTTGAGTTTCCCCAAGTCTGTCTGCACCTGGGTTCAACTCTCACCCCAGAGCGCGATCGGGTCTAAATGACATTTTGACCCGAGGGCAGCAGGAGGGTTAAATGCTGTTTTGATTTCTTCATGACATGTTTGTCCTGATTCTTCAAACGGATACCGCTGACAGCTGTCTGCTGCAGGTAAGACACTGACTGACTACTTTTTAAATAAATTATCCCTTTATTATTTTAAATAAATAAAAAAAGATTTGATAGATTACTCACAGATTTAAAATCCCTAATCATGCTTAAATTAAAAAGAGGGAAATTTGTGTTTTTATTGAGACAAGATTCAAATAAACATCTCACACATTTTTCAAACTTAAAATTATCCTTCAACCAAAGTTCTCCATCGTCTGTGGCTGATTCTTAGTCGGGTCACAGAGATAACGGGTCCAGGAGAGAAACCTCCACCAGCTCCTCCTGGAGGACCCCAAGGTGTTTCCAGACCAGAGAGAGAATCTCTCCAGAGGCTTCTGGGTCTGATCTGGAGTCTCTTCCCAGTGGGACATGGCCAGAAAACTTCCAAATGGAGGCGACAGGAGGTGTCTTAATCAGACACCCGGACCACCTCAGCTGACTCCTTTCAATGAGGAGGAGCAGTGGCTCTACTCCGAGCTCCCCCCGGATGACGGAGCTCCTCATCCCTCAACCAGAGATTCTTCTTATTAATCTCTAAAATCTTGTTTTTTTCCATGTTATTTATTTTTTTACTTCAGTAAATTTACTTTCAGAGCCGCATCCAATAATAATAATAATAATAGTAATATTAATGATAATAATAATAATAATAATAGTTGCACTCACAGGCACACAGGCAGTTTGGACATCCTGCAGGATGAAGATGCAAATCAGGAAGGCAAACATTTTCCCAACAATGAAGAAGACTCCTCTGTGTGATGAAGCACAAATGAACAACGTATGTAACGTTCTGCACAGATTTCAATGCAAATTTATTTAAAAATATGAATACAACGAGGACCAATGAGAAGCTAATTAGTTTGTTCATTATTAATCAATTTTATGAAGAACTAGAATGATTAAAATGGAGGAAGACACAAAAAAAAAATACATACATTTTAAAGTTAAAGCGAAAAGTTGGCCTTCTTGACTGCAGGATATTCTCTTGAGGTGAACCTGCTTCTGTCATCCAAACACTTACTGAGGCGACGTCCCGGCTCTCAGGTCTTCAGGATGAAGAGTTTCCCACTCGTCCTTTTATAGCTCCTACAGGTGTGTGAAAAGTGTCCCGTTCCCCTCGGGGGGATAATGATGAAGGCTGGATTTACACGCTTGACATGGGGCAAAAGCAGATCCATCACGTTGTTCTGAGGAGGCTTTGTTTCTGCAGAGTGACAGGGAGTAAATAAAGAAGCTGCTGAGCTGCTGGGTGTAGTGACTGTCTGCTCTATTAACGCGTGTTTACCCAGCGCAGACGGGAAAGTAGAAGGTAAATAAAGCATAAAGGAGCTCCGACAGAAAACTCTCCTGACCTGAGTGTCATGTATGTAGATGGATACAGATCCTGGAGGCTGAGGACACACCTTTCTGTACATCAAGCGGAACGTATGTGTGGGAGAAGAAACCGGTCAGTGTTGGATCCATCTGAACTCATTTTTATTAGAACAGCAAATACAGGCGCTGGTCATAAAATTAGAACGTCATGAAAATGTTTATTTAGTTCAGTAATTCCATACAAAAAGTGAAACTTGTATATTTATTCATTCATTACACACAGACCGATATATTTCAAATGTTTATTTATTTTAATGTTGATGATTATAACTGACCACTAATGAAAACCCCAAATTCAGTATCTCAGAAAATTTGAACATTACTTAAGACCAATAAAAAATAATTTTTAGAAATGTTGGCCAACTGAAAAGTATGAGCATGTACAGCATCAATACTTAGTTGTTGCTCCTTTTGTCTGGATTACTGCAGCAATGCGTCATGGCATGGAGTCGATCACTGCTCAGGTGTTATGAGAGCCCAGGTTGCTCTGATAGTGGCCTCCAGCTCTTCTGAATTGTTGGCTCTGCTGTATCGCATCTTCCTCTTCACAATACTCCATAGATTTTCTATGGGGTCTAAGGTCAGGCGAGTTTGCTGGCCAATCAAGAACATGGATACCATGGTCCTTAAACCAGGTACTGGTAGCTCTGGCACTGCTTGCAGGTTCCAAGTCCTGTTGGAAAATGAAATCTGCATTTCCATAAAGTTGGTCAGCAGCATGAAAAGCTCTAAAACTTCCTGGTAGACAGCTGCATTGACCTTGGTCACCATCACTGACTGTGAAAACTTGACACTGGACCTCGTGCAACGTGGATTCTGTGCCTCTCCTCTTTTCCTCCAGACTCTGGGACCTTGATTTCCAAAGGGAATGCAAAATTTACTTCCACCAGAGAACATAACTTTGGACCACTCAGCAGCAGTCCCAAGAGAGACGCTTCTCACACTGTTTCTTGTTCAAGATTGGCTTGACACAAGGAATGTGACAGCTGAAACCCATGTCTTGCATACGTCTGTGCGTGGTGGTTCTTGAAGCACGGACTCCAGATGCAGTCCACTCTTTGTGAATCTCCCCCACATTTTGGAATGGGTTTTGTTCCACAATCCTCTCCAGGGTGTGGTTATATCTATTGCTTGTACATTTTTTTCTACCACATCTTTTCCTTCCCTTCGCCTCTCTATTAATGTGCTTGAACACAGAGCTCTACGAACAGCCAGCCTCTTTAGAAATGACCTTTTGTGTCTAGCCCTCCTTGTGCAAGGAGTCAATGGTCGTCTTTTGGACAACTGTCAAGTCAGCAGTCTTCCCCATGATTGTGTAGCCTACAGAACTAGACTGAGACCATTTAAAGGCCTTTGCAGGAGTTTTGAGTCAATTAGCTGATTAGACTGTGGCATCAGGTGTCTTCAATATTGAACTTTTTCACAATATTTAAATTTTCTGAGATACTGAATTTGGGGGTTTTCATTAGTTGTCAGTTATAATCATCAACATTAAATGAAATAAACATTTGAAATATATCAGTCTGTGTGTAATGAATGCATATAATATACAAGTTTCACTTTTTGAATGGAATTACTGAAATTAATCAACTTTTTCATGATATTCTAATTTTATGACCAGCACCTGTATATGAGGTGAGCTAAATTCATGCTTTCCCAAAGTTTCACTTAATGATCCGATATGAGCGTTTTGATCCTCTTTTCACCCCAAAACAAAATATAAAAATATCTGGATAACAATAATGAGCTGCAGTCCTGCAGAAATGCAAACTTCAGTCAGTTTACCCTCCGCTGTCAGAGGTAATTAATGTTAACTGCACTGATCCACGCCGTGGGTGCAGTTCTTTATGTACACATGGCGTTGTGCGTCCATATGCTGCATTTTATACAAAACCTCTTTTCATGAAGTCGGACAGAAAGTGCACGTTTTAAACGGTCGCATGTAGAAAGAGCATCAAACTCAAGGGTTTTAGCGGTGTTGGAAATGTTTGCGTTTGCTGCGACCACATTGTTTAAAAAATGCTAACGTACACATTTAACAACCTTCGGCTTCGTTTTCCTTAAAGGTCAAATGAAAATTGTTTTGAAGCTATAAATTGAAAGAAAGTCATGAATAGAGTTTGTTTTCAGACTGTCCCATTAAAATATCCATCCATCCATCATCTTTACCCACTTCTTCCTTTTTGGGATGCGGGGGTCACTGGTGTCCACATCCAGCAGTCACTGTGCGAGAGGCGGGGGACACCCTGGACAGGTCTCCAGTCCATCACAGGGACACATGGAGACAAACGAGACAAACAACCATTCACTCTCTCTTTCACACCTAGGGACAATTTAGCCTAACATGCATGTTTTGGGTCTGTGGGAGGAACCTGGAGTACCTGGAGAAAACCCACGCAGCACAGAGAGAACATGCAAACTCCACCCTGAAAGGTCCTGGGCCAGGATTTGAATCAAGGACCTTCTCGCTGAGAGGCGGCAGCTCTACCAACTGAGCCACCTCCCATTAAAATATTTCACAGTAGTTTTGAATTATGACTAAAAATGTGAAAAATACTTGAGTATCTTCAGCATTTTCCGATCACTCTGAGGTGTGATGTCATCGGTGCCAAACGTGGACCTGAATGTTTGGATCTAGTCTGAAGACCTACTTCAGTGGAGCTGCTGGCTCATCTCTGCCATCCAGAGACGTTGGACCAGCAAGCAGCAGGCCACGATCACGGAGAGAAGAGAGAAGCCACCGAGGCTGGGAGGAGATGTTCACCAGGACTTACAGTTAGCCGCTGTTCTTTAATGCATCTGGCTGCAGGTAAGATGCTCACTACTCATCTAGTGCAGGTACAGTGGAAGCTAAAATATACATTTAATGGGATGTTCCTTGTGGAAATAGACAAAAAAGCATTAAATTATACAAGAGCAGCTCCTCAGACTGCACCAACATCTGACAGGGTCTTCCCCAGATTCCTGAAATCCAGTTTTTGGTTCAGGTTCTGGTCTGGTGACCTCGTTGTGTTCCAGCTTTTCTTTCATTCTCTACAAAGTCTTCAACTTCCACTGCCACTGATAAACGACGCGGCGGGAACGGTCTCTCTTCTCCTGCGTCTTCTTTTTTCTCAAACTTTATTTATAAAGTGTACGGTACAACAAACAGAGGTGGCCTTCAGCGTTCTTTTACAGGTGGTCGTGACGTCGATGACATCATCAATCAGGGACGGTAACTCTTACCACGCACCCACCCCATTCTGGGATTTTTACATAAAGATGTCTGAAATAAGTCATTACATTTTTAAAGCAGAGAAACTGGCTTTTTTTTAATGAAAGTGTTTAACTTAAAGAAGAACATTGAAAGCCATTTTTACATTTTATTTGAAGAATGCACGTCGCCCGCGGTTTTAAACGGAAGTTATTTGATGATGAGAAACGTCAAAATCACCGTGAAGCCGTTTGGGTCGAATCTTCACGATAAGCTCAAATCAGCCGTTAAAAAGCACTTCCTGTGTAGTTCTGGCGTCGACTGGACTCGGAGGCAGACGATCCATGGCGACACCTGATACGAGAGCAGCCAAAGGACTTAAAGGTAATTCTTGCGCTGGCTGAGGCAGCCATCTTGAAATGCATCGACTTGTAGATAAACAGCCGTTTTGATCCAGTTGGACCAAAAGAATTTACTGGGATGGAACCTTCTCCTCCAGCCCAACACCTAACCTGGACTCTAAACCTAAAACGTCATTTCTGGCCGTAAACCTAATCACTGACCTTTGACCCTAAACTTAACCTGACCCATGGCCCTGAACCTAACATGACCCCTAATGCTAACCCTGATACTTGACCTTAAACATAACCTTATTTTTGGACCCTCAATCTAATCTCTGACCCCGGCTGACCCCGATTCCTGTTATGCCGCTCACTTTCGGTTGTGGTGGATATAAATTTGCAATTGCAAACTCTGCCTTGTAAGTTAACGCAGAAGCATGATCGTTTCCCCAAAAGACAACAACATGTTCAAACACTGGGGGATGATGTCACGTCTTCACAGAGAAGCTGAGGTCCAAATACAAAACGCACCTTCATGAAATCTTGAATGTTCGCTGACGTCCACGTATTTGAACAATCTCGTCGTTTTTCTGTGACGTGCTTTGATCTGCTCGTCCTCTCCACCAACCAGCTGTTAGTCTGAGCCGCTCGTGTTCGGCTTCCAGAACCAACACCCCGCTGCTGCTTCGACCCAGATGTCACGTTTCACTCCTCTCACTCCATTCCTGCGCGTTCAGTTTACTCAGAAAGGTCAAAACTCTCACAAACTCACGCACCATTGAGCGCGTAATTTGCACTTGCACAATGAAGCCATCAAAAGTGCAAAAAATGAACGATGCAGTCCAGAAAATATAATCTAAAGTAATCCTAATTTAGCTCTTATCCCGCAGCTAAATTGTAGGTGATCGCTGGAGCCCTTTGAGTCTCAGTGCCAAAAGCTTCTGGCGTCGGTTTGATTCGATTTCACTCAAACAGATGGAAAACAACCCAACATTAGCAGCCTGATATTGACTTCAGGTGTTTTACTGAAAGGATTTCCCAGAATGACCTTTTGAACCTTTTATATGTGAGGATGGGGGGAGAGCTGCCCCTCCAGGGCTGGACTCCGGGTGGTTTCTGCTGCTAAAACAGGTGATTAGAGTCTAATGGG